GCGGGCGAAATTAATTATTCGAGTTGATTCAGTGTGTAGTGGTGTCACTTATCTGTGTCACGTGGAGATGACAGGGGGTCCGCCGGTGTAATGTCGCAGTTCGAACAGCGTGCGAACATCAAGTTCAAGTGCAAGTTGGGAAAATAGGCTTCACTGACGCCATCGGCCCTGCAACACTGCCGCCTCGTCAGTCTGTTACGGAACATTTCTATGTCAAGTTGTGTAACAACACGATAACGCGCCGAGCCACACAACGCTTGTTGTGCAGAAATTCCTAGCCGAAAACATTTCGGTCTTCCCTCAAGCAGCGTTTTTTTTCGGATCTCGTTCCCAGAGACTATTGGTTCATTCCTACGCTAAATGCCAAGAAAGCGGTTTTGCAACCAGGGAGGTCGTGAAATCTAGTGCGTCGGTTCAGCTCTGACCGGTACCAAAACAAGCCTACCATCGCTGATTCCAACAATGGCTAAAACGATGTAGCAAGTTGTGTGGGTGCTCAAGGGTCCTACTTCGACGGCGATTAGAAGATCATTGCCATAGGTTGCCTGGTGATCGGACTCTAAGCAAGATGAATATGCTTGCATATTTATTTTTTAAATAACTGCATATTTTTGACAAAATAGTATCCGGTTATTTGGCAACATCACATATCAGCATATTACTACTGTTTAAAGAAATCCGACTCATAAATTGTATGAGAGAGATTTTTTTTTAAAAAAATTCATTTTCGTTTGTCCCATTCTTCGGACACCGATGATGATTTCGAGAAATCACCACAAAAGACCATAAAATTATGTTTATTGAATTCTTGCACCAAAAATAATGTGTATATTCAAGAAGGAGGAAACAAGAAGAAGGTTCTTTCAGAAGAAATTTCTGATGGTCGAAATATGCCATCTTTAATACTACGATTTAAAAATTGCCCAACAACATCGGTAGGTGTGGAAGAACAATTTCAATTTACAAACAAATGTGTACTGATCAGAGAAGTATTTTTTGGTTGACAATTTTGAAAACCATTTTCGTAAACACTACTGTCTGGTGAACACATTCACATGTAAACTATCGTTAAAAGTAGTATTTAATAAAGAATGTACCACGTAGCAAAATTATTAATAATCATATTTTCATTTGTAAATCCTATTTCCTGAAGTTTTATTTTCTAAATATAATAATTTGGTGTAAATGTATATGAGACAA